GAGTGCCAACTATGATTGGATTGGGATGTGAACACTGAAACAAGGAATGAGATAACAAATCCAATGTTACCAACATGTAAAACTGAAGTCCTTCTGTCCTTGAGCTGGATTTGAACTAGTTGTGTCTAAAATCTGTCTATACTTTGAAAAAAAAACCCAACAAACAAAAAAACCTCCAAAGAATATTGTAAGTTCTAGGAACAACTATCCATGTGAAAGTCAGCTCTGCTGGCATCTTTATGAATAGAAAAAGGCTTAACTACATTAACTACGCGAAGCTATAGGAGGGTTTGGAATTCTTTAGAAAGCTAGAGCTTGGAAGAGCAGGATACCACAAGCTTACCTTAGTGGTCCAAAAGTAGGAGCGATGAAGACTTCAAAGAACTAGAAGGGAAGAACTACTGACTTGGCTGATTCAGAATTGTTGGGGTTTATTTTGAGCTCTGTCCTTACCTCTTTCTTTGACCTTGGCCATGCCATTTTGCTGCTTATCTTCTGTGCCACTTTGTGGAACACAACCATGGTGACTTTTAAAAAGCACTTTGCTAACTGGCATGGACATCCTCAGCAAAATGTTTCAATGTAGTGTAAATGACAAACATGTTTCGCTGAGACAGTCAAAAAAAAAGGAGCAAATACGCTTTTGCTAGTGCTATGCAGTATTAGTTAACTGGCATTAGTCCTATAGCAACACTGGCATATCTAACATTGACAGACAAACAGAACTAGCTTCGTTATTTACAATACTTCACTAAACCCAACAGGACTGTCCTTTTTCATCCTAAGAATTACATGCCAAGTACCTTCCTCTGGCCAGAAATGAGACTTGAATCACAGGTAAGAGATAAAAGGAAGGGAACCTCTTAAGTGCTGTGCTAAACACAGTGATGTTGACTTCAGTGGGCATTTTCAATTGCTTTTTTTCTATAGCTTAGCATTTAGATTATTTAGGTGCCTTCACACTGGGAAAAACCTACTACCAATTCTGTAACATACGCTCAATGGCTCACCAACACGCAGCTAAAGAAGGAGAGCTTGGCAATATCACCAGATGAAGAAAAGAGAAGCAGCCAGTGAGGACTGTCAGATTAATAAGATTAAATTTCATATGGAATAAATTGAATCCCTTATATCAAATTACAAAATAAAACGAGAAATACTTATCTCCTCACACAGCAGAACCAAACAGCTTTCCTAAATTATCTTCCTTCTCTTGCGTAGTTTATATGACTGCTGGTAATGCCACTGGAACACTTGCCTACCAAACTCACTGCCAACTGAACTTACACTCAACAAAATAATTTCAGAGACTCTAAAAATAAATCACAGGTGTGGAATTTGTTCTGTAAAGACCATTATGTACTCATTTCCTGCTAGCATCCCCAAAGCAGTGAAACAGGTAGCCCTCAGAACCTCCAAGATTTACGATAAATCTGCCTCAAACAAACACGGTATTACACTTTCAGGGTACCTTTCCTACACTCTAAATGTATTAGCATTAAATGTAAAGTTATGAAAATGAAAAGAAGAAAAAAATTTAAGAAAAAATTTCCTTCTTTTAACCAAAAAAGGTGGACAACTTGGTACGGCATGCTTTTTGAAAAGGAGAATCTCAAGAAATAGACACCTTCTAGAATCGTCAAATAATCCCCTTAAGTTCAGTCCCTGTATAAGATGAAGTTACCTCCCAGAGTAATCAAAATCCTATGTTCTTTATTTAAACCACCAGAAACACCGAAAACTATTATTTTGGTATGTACTATTTGAGTCCACAAAGCTGCAATAGTTTAAATTAAATAGGATTTTTTTTTCAAATTCTTATATAATTGGGTAAGTTCTCAGACTTGTATTAATGTGCCCACTTGACACGTTACTGTTCAAAATGTAATGTGACCTTAAAAGATTTATCATGAAGCACTGCCCTGATGCATTCTCTATCTGCTGAAATATAGGCAGACATCTGAAAACAAGGCATTCTCTGATTTTCTTCTATTCCAGTACAAAACTTGATTTTGAATAAGGCAACTCTGTTCTTTTGCACTCCCCCATGTTGTTCCCTAACTCCCAAACTAACTCATCCTGCAGCTTCAGGTGCATAGTGTACATCCCAGCTGGTGCAAGATGAGTGTATGAGAATCACTATTATTCAACATAGGCAGTATCAACCAGTAGATCAATACAGCTGATGCTCCCATGAAAGCTCTACAGTTCTTATAGATGTTTAATACATTGTAAGAAATGTGTCTGCAAGAATCATTTCCAAGTTCTTGCAAGCAGAAGCTGTTCCCTCACCAGAGACACATTACTGCCTATCAGTAGGTGGGTGGTAATTTGCACAAAGGAAATGCTACATCCGTGTAATTCTGCAGGCACAAAGCTAAGGAGAAAACCTGTTCTTGATTACCCACAGTAACTGAGAAAACTAAGTACATCAGAAAAATAGAGAAAATGCAAGCTATATATAAGTCAGGATACAATAACATACTTACTTCACTAATCTTTATGAAACTAGTAAAAAGCTTTCCACAGAAAACAGAACAGAGAAATTCCCAAGATACTTATTACATATAATGGAAAAGGGATTTCAGCAATGCAGTGACAGAATAATCAAGAAAGACATGACTTGGGCCTACAGTCCCCTATCCCCATAAAAAGGCTCCACCATTGTCATAATCTAGTATTTATGATACTTGCTCTATAGATTAACTCTAAAAAGAACATATATTTTTTAAAACATCCCTTCCACCACACAGCCCAGAATGAGGAACTCCATATTGTTTAATAAAATAAACACCTGTTGTAATATCTCAAGCCCATACCCAAGGTTACTAATTCATCTTATTTCAAAAGAGAGAAACAAAACAATCAATTTTCCTTAAAATATCTCAAGTCCTTCCCTCCAGTATCAGCTCCTACATTTGTTTACCTTCCCGAATGTAATGCTGCTTGCTCCAGACTTATCTGGGATAGAATTTTCCATATACTCGTCATTTCTGTACTAGATTTGGTGCTATCTTTGGTCAAGACCACCTTTCCCTTACAAACATCGGACATTTCTGAATCCTCCCATAGGCATTCCCACTCATTCTTCCTCTTTCTTTACTATTGCTTCCTCTCAAATGAGGGAAATTATAGTAATACATGTAGCAAACCCCTCAACTTCTCACTGACAATTTACAGTGCAGCACAATTACACTCTGCTGATTCACTGTGACAAGAGACATTTACTCTTGCTGCTGACAGCACAGATGTTTTCTAGCATCCATATCTGTTTGGTTGGCAACATTGTGCATTGGTGTCCCTCTAGTTGGGCTGGTTCTCTTGTTGATATGTTTACCTTTAACAGGTAGCAGTCTCTGGTCCAAATAAAACAGTGAAATACCATTAGCTAGCAGTTTTTCATCTTAGAAATAACTTTCATTCTAAACCTCAAAAATGTTCAGCTAGCACTAAGCAATAAAGTCTTAATGGCCTGTGAGCAAAATAAGCAAGCAAATTTTTTTTAAAGACAATTATTTCTTATTCACAGAAGCAGCCAGTAATCCATTAACTAAGCAAATCATTCCTTAATTCTACAGCTTTTATCAACATGCTCATATATACTGCCATCTGTAAGGGGAGGGTTTAGATATTAGGGCATCTTTATAGACATTAAGATTGCCTTACTCTAACAAAAAAGGAAACTTTAATAGTATAAGAACAATATTGTAGAAACTAATTTGAAAGCTCTCATAGTTCCTATCTGCAAACTCACTAACAAGAACTAATAATACTTTTTTTACACCTTCACAACAAACCATATAAATTCATTGGCACAACATTTGAGGCAAAAAAAACACAGGAAGATTCTGCAGGGCCTGGAAATTTACAGCATTTTAATAGTTAATGCTAGCTCATTTGAATCTATTTAAGATATTAAAATTCCCATCTGTCAGATCTCTTTGCTAATGTCACTGCCCTCAAAGCAAAAGGGAACATATGCCTGCATCCCAGTCATGCAGTTCACAGTGCTCCTTTTTAACTCAAGTCATAAATGAAAAGGAGTTCATACTAACACACCAACCTAAACCACGACAGCTAACATGCAACTATGTGTTTGCTCTAGCCATTTAGACATAGCCAAACAGAGAAAAAGGCTAATCAGATGCATAAGGCATCAGAAAAGGAAATTATGACCTTTAAACTACTGCAATAATTTGCTCCCACACTCGTAATGTTCTATGTGTGTGTTTGAATTCAAGGCAATTTTAAGTTTGTGAAAAGAGACATGCTATCAGAGCAATACCCAACTGGCAGACAGTAACGCTGTTGGTATTACAGAGTAGCTAAAATCACCACGATTTCCACAATTGTAACTGCCAAAGTTCAATCCCCGTGTTCTATAATGGGTCAGCTGCATCCCATGTAAAGCATCACAAACATCAGCTGAAATCCTGGATGTACAAGGACATTTTATTTACCCAAGTTAATGTTTCTGTCAACACCAGCTCTATGATAGATAAAGAGAAGATCCAATTCAGCTGGAATGGGTTAAATCTCCCATAAGGAAAACAAGCTTGCATCTCACCTATACAGCAAAATCTAGCAAGTAAATGAAAGTTTGGGAACATTTATCTTAACAAAGGAGTATTTACCCTTCCAAAAAGTAGAAGGAGAATATACATTTTAAGTTCAGTAAGACTTTCCAACATACAGAAGTCTGCTGAAATGCCAACAAAACAGACACTATTTATGTATGTATATTAACTACTAGAGAAGCACGCTTCATTTACAATTGCTTTTGTATCCAATCAGTTAAGTTGCTTCTACAAAATGAAAGCATTTACAGGTTTCCTGCAGTCTGTAGCACCATACTGTATAAAAATAAACCCCTCTGGGATTAAATTAGAGGATACAGTGGTTCACAAGAAAGGATCACTAAGTTAACATTACTCCCCATTTTTCTTTGTATGATTTCTTCTCAAAAGCATACCCCAACACCTTGAATGTGTAACACTTACTGTTGCTGGACTTCAGGTCACGGTGAATTATGGGAACAATCGCTTCCTCGTGCAGGTAGTTCATTCCCCTCGCAATCTGTACTGCCCAGTTCACTAGTATGTCAGGAGGTATCCTTTTACCAGACAACACTCTATTTAGCGATCCTCCACGGGCAAACTCCATGATCAAGCAAAGATTAGGTTCCTTTAAACACACGCCCCTGAGGGCAATGATGTTGGGATGTTTTAACATCGCAAAGAGCTTGGCCTCTTGGCGGACATTCTCAATGGTCTGGCTGATGTCCTCATCAGGGTCATAGCGAGCTGCCTTGACAGCAACCTCATCTCCTATCCACACAGCTCGATACACTTTTCCGAAGCCCCCTATGCCAATGATTTCCTCCAGAACAAGCTCTGAGAAGTCGATCTCCAGGACTAGGAAAAGAGGAAAAAAAAGATATAAACATTTAGCAACTATGCAGCTTGTACATCAACTGAAGGTCCATGTTGCCCAACCTCACCCTTACCCTTGGAGGAAGGGCCGATTTTCATGCCAAAACAATACAAACAAAAGCAGTAGTCCCTTCCAACAATCTTTTAGTGCCAAATAGTGTGGGAAAATAGATCTTGCAGTACCATAAAACCTGTATGAAGTAGTCACTGTAAATGACTCCTCTTACCACACTTAAACTCTTATAACACTGATGCCCCTTCCCACCACTTACAGATAAACTCGCCTTGACAGTACAAGATTTCAAAAAAGAAAAACACACAAACTAATCTTTGCTGTGTTCACAATACAGTGCTTAATGTGAGATATCTAAAACTCAACACAAAATGCATCTGCTTCTGCATTTGTTCTTTATTTGAATGTCTCTTATTCAATTCCCACAACAATCTTTTAGTCCTTCCCAAATCAAGCTTGTTCTTCCACATCTCTATAGGCTCTGCAGATTCATTCCCCACAAGAGATCTGTTAACCAATTCTGACGCTTCTGACAACAGTGTGACAGACAGATGGATCAGACCACACACTGAGTATGCAGTGCTAGCAATAAGAAAAACATTTTTTGATTACTGCATACTGCATTCTTATTACAGAAACTTCCTATTCCCATGCACTGACAGCTACACTTTACAGGCTGATGCAGTAACCGGTGGATACTTGGCATTGTATAGGAAAAATCTACAGATGCAGATGTCTTAATTCAACATGTAAATTGCATCTGGAGCACAAGCAGTGAGAAAATGCATCCTGTACAAATGCACACTAAACACAGCTTATACTCATGGGTGGCCAAAAGAACCCATCCAATACCGATTAATGTAGAATGAAAACCCCACATACTGACCAATGAAAACATGCTGACAGAGCTGAATTTACAGCAGTGGTAGGTCATTGGAGAGATACCATTGATGCCATTCTGTCTGATATTTGGCTGATTACCAATTACAGTCAATGAAATGTTAAAAAGTTTTAAAGGAAGAATACCATAATGCAAGATTTAAGCAGAAAGTCATGAAGACTTTTAATACTTTCCTGCATTTCAAATACCAAATCTGACATGGTTCCCCTGTTTTGTTTAGTTGAAAGGAAGTTAAGCCTGCAAGGCAGCAAGTTAGATCACATTAAAGTAAACTATTTTCCTTATTCCAATCAAATGTCTTTCCTAAGAATACAAGACTTTGTCACAAAACTGCATGGAATTAGTACAAACTCTTCTGTCCACAGCTGTAGGCCTTTTTTCTATTTTTGCCTGAGCTCTGTCTTCCCTGAATATGATTTTTCAAAGTCTAGCTTACTATTGTAAGTCAGTCAAATCTATAAACTAGTTTAATAAGGATACCTGTGATCCTTTTCCTAGTGTTCCATGAACAAAAGATTAATGGGAAACAAGATAGACAACTGGCCAGGAAAGTTTTCCAAAAGGAGAAAAGGTCTCTTCCAGTCCAGAACACAAAAATAATTTCTTTTTCTGCTACTGTGAGTACATATTTTGGATAACACTGACCTTCAAGGATTTGCAAGACAACGAAGATTTCACTCCTGCCAGCCTTGGTGCTTTTGAGATAGAGATTACCAGAAAATATGAAGAAGTACATTCTGACCTGAAACACTGAAATTTTAGAACAAGGCTGTAATGAAAATAACTCCACATATGAGACTGAGAATGTCACTGAGACTACACAAAAGGAGCTGCTCTTGTATTTCTCACTAATAAAAGAGCTAAAGAAATCAGATGTTGAGTCCTATCTCTTCAGTCAGTAGAATTTCAGCACTGTTATAATCCTCAATTAACCGGCTTCTAGGGACAAGCTCAGTTAAAAGACTGAATGAACAAACACGTAAGCCACAGCACCGGGCGACTGCCGGCCCCGCAACCTCCGGACACACAGCATTCCGGTGCTGTTCCCAGTCTGTGTTCTCCTCGGGCATTTCACTCACTGAGAGGGCGTGAACGAGGCGCCGAGCGAGCCGTCCCGCAGGTGCTGAAGGGACAGCTCCGGCGGCAGCGGTGCCGGCGGGGCGGAGGGACGGGACGGGACACGGGACGGCCCCGCGGGCAGCGCCCCGCCCCGGCCCCCCCGCCCCGCGGCCGTGCAGGGGAGAAGCGCGGCAGGAAGGTGTCAGGCAGGAGAACGAGATGGGCAAAGGAAACCGAAGGGATGGAAAAGAGAAGTCTTTGTGTGCCGTCACCCATTTTCCGTCAGAAAAAGCACATCCCTGCTGGATGCACAAGTTAACAGGGCTAGGATGTAAAACAGGGAGACTTCGGCTTCCGGATGAAATTTCATGTGACACTGGATGTTATTATTTTATTTGCAAGTACGACGTTACCTTTAACTTTGAAAATGTATGTTTCTGTAAGGCACACTGGCCAGCTCACCCTCATGGGTAGCTTCATCAGAAAAATCCCTCATTTAAAAAAAATATTTTGAGGGGTTTTTTTAAAGCTATTTTGTGCTGAATTAGCTTCTTTGTTTTCACAGACTGAGTTATACTGCTACATTAGGGCACTAAAAACACTAACCCCATGTCTAAACTCCAGTATAATTTGGCAGACGTTGTACTGGACTGTACAGACAATGTTTAAGGGGCATTTTTGCCTCAGAATTTAAGAAATGAAGCACTATCATTCCTCCAGGGACTGATAAGGAATTACAGAGCCTGTACACCATGAACCAGTGGCCATGTTGACAACTGCAAAGCAGGTGCTTTTTAATCAGCACTTACTATACCATATGATTAAGCTATTTAATTCATTTTGAAGTGTCTTAAGAGCCCACACTGCAGATGAGGGTCCTTCAAGTTGGTCCACTTCTGACAGCCTCTACAGGCTACTTTTATCATTTATGGTACTCTCTCTGAAGCAAGATTCAGGCATACTAATGGGATGACTAAAATTACCAGCTATACTAGTACACCTCTCAGTGAAAGCAGAATCTAAAGGACTTATACTCCTAGCCCATCATTAAACACAAAGATAAACTTTAAGAAAGCAAGTAAAAATAGTTTCTGTGTAGAGGTGTGTGTCTGGAATGACACTTTGCATCACTCCTGCAAAGTGTTAACAGTTCACTGTCCAGTAAGAATAGACTGTTACTCCCAGCAGCTAGCAAACTAACATCACCAGCTCTAAAAGGGGGTATCATTCCTTGCAAAGGATTTCTAACATTAAACTTGAAAATCCAATTCAACAGCAGCCAACTTTAACAAGACTTTCCAAATTGCAGTTTCTTTTAAGAAAGAAACGTACTCCTTAGGCATTATACACATCTGTTGGAGGGCAGTAAGTTCTCCTCTGTCATGAACAGATGATGATCATCATAAAGGGTAATAACTTAACAGAAGAGAAGTAGTTTAGCCCTGTCGTGGCACGAAAGACAAGGGTAAAGAGGAAAGATGCAACTCCACAACTGCTCCTGAACTATCAAACCACAGAAAATGCAGCAAGACAGGAGAATCCACAGTTACAAACCCTGCACCTGAACGCTCAAAATAAGATGGGAGTTGAGGGTTCAAAGAGTTCTACAGAAATGGTTCTCCTAACTACCTCAAAGGCAAAACCTAATAAGATTCGTTCACAGTGTTTTCTGCATGTGGGGGAAAAATAATTTATCTATACTGTAGCAGCATGAAAGAAAGGACCACCACTACCAACCTAGTCTCTTCACAAGCCCAAGGGCAATGCTAGAAATTACTGACTTTTACCTACATACTTTCAAGCAGAACACAGAATAAGAAAAAAAAAAGCTTTTAGTTGTATTCCTTGGAGATACGACCTACATAAGACAAAGCATCTTTTCACTCTTTTACTTTCTAAAAAAGCCTAGTAGTCTGAAGATTTTTCTCTGCCCCTCCAAAAAAAAAGCATTATCTTTGCCTGAATTGTCAACAGTGGTAGATGAACAGGATCCAGAAACAGTCATCCCATGCTGTTTCTCTTTCCACAATTGTATGTAGTGGCTAAAAAAAATGTAGCAATGAAACGGCCCTATTCTCTGTCTCTAACAAAGGCTTCAAAACTGCCATGAAGTTCACAGAAACAAACCAATCCCTTCATGCCTTCAGCATCACAACTTACTCAAGCAACCCTCAGGCAGGCCTAGTCACCCAAAAGCAGACAGAACTCATTCACAGGTATTTTAGGATAAAATTTGTATGATGTCAGAGGAACCTGGTAACACAAGCCAACTTAGGAATTTTTCAGTCAGAAATAATAAGCTTTTGGTTAGGAGGAAGAAAGATACTGAACAAGTATTAGCAGTGAATCAACACTGCTTCCTATCCAGCAACCCTTCCTTAAGGATATTCTTAAAGGGAGAGTCACCAGAAGCCCCAGTGACTCCACCACTGCACAGCCGCCAGGCTTCAGTCGCTGGATGAAAATTTATCAGCCTCTGGAAACACATGACTTAACAATGGGAAACTGCTCCTGGCGCCGGTGAAACGCCAACTGAGCGAGGCTCGGCCTCCCTGGAGCGGCGCGCTAGCCTGGAAGACAGAAGGACACTGGTGCAGCAGGAATGCGTCCCCGGGTGGGAAAGGGAACGGACCAAGGTCCTGGGGCAGCCCCAGGACGGGAGGGGCCGAGACGCCGCAGCCTCTCCGCTCCCCGCCAAGGGCCATAGCAGGGCCCGCTCGCCCCAGCCACCCCGCCGCCGGCCGGGCCCGCGGCCTCCCACGGCCGTTCGCCACCGGGAGGGGCCTTCCCTTCCCCTTCCAAGGCGGGCCCGGCTCCCGCCAGGACCCACCGCAGGGCCGGCCCGGGCCTCCCCCCGCGCCGGTGGCGGTCCCGCCTCCCCCGGGCACCGCGGGAGGGCCGGGCCGCGGCTCCCCCCGCCCCACCTCGGTAGCCCCGCCGGTCCGGTCCCCCCTCCCCTGGTAACCCAGCCCCCTCTGGCCCAGAGGAGGGTCGTGACCGCGCCTCTTCCCCCTCCTCCGGCTCCCTTCGTCCCGGCGGAGGAGCCCCGCCGAGCCCCCCGCCCCGGCCCGGGCCCCCTTACGCTGTATGGCGGGGGGCGGCGGGTATCGGGCGCGCAGCTCCGGGCCGCCCCCCGGCACGCCGCTGCTCACGTAGTTGCTGGGGAAGATGCCGACGCGCTGGTCGATCTTGCCCGTCCACCAGCCCTCGTCGCCGGACACGTGCGAGTCCCGGGACAGCACCTGCACCACGTCCCCCGGCCGCAGGCTCAGCTCGTCCTCGCCGCACGCCTCGTACTCGAAGACGGCGGTCCAGAGCGGCCCGCCGCCCGGCGGCTCCCCGCCGCCCGCGCCCTCCTGGCTGAGCTCGGTGAGGGGCTCCATGGCGAGGCTGCTCCATAGGGGGAGGCGCCCGAGGCAGCCGGGCACTGCGGGGGACGGCGGGGCCGGGACCGCCGCCTATTGTTCATGCGGCCCGGCGCCCGCCGGCACCAGGTGCCGCTGCCGGGGGATCCCGGCGCGGGGCCGCCTCAGCCCAGCGCAGGCAGGGGCGAGAGCAGGAAGTGTGTGCCGTGGAGGAGCCTCCGCATCCCCCCAATCCACCGCCTCCTCCGCGCCCGCCTCCGCCTCCCGCCGCCGCGCATCCCGGAGCCACCTGACTCTCTGGCAGCTTCGGCGGCAGCGGCGGAGGGCAGGGCGGCCCCGCCCCCGCGCCGCCATTGGCCGCCGCCGCCGCCCGTCAGCACCGCCCTCACCTGATTGAGGGCCCGCGCCCTCCTGGCCACGCCCCCTCCCCGGCCGGCCCCGGCCCCGAAGTCGCGCACTCTCGATTGGCCCCCGCCTGGTCAGCGCTCGCTTTCCATTGGCTCGCGCTCCGAGCTCCGCCTTCCCCTACTCTTCTCATTGGCTGGGGAAAGGGGCATGACACGGTCCGGGGTCGGGGGTGGGCGGGGCGACCTCTCCAGCCGGCAACCGGAGGGCGGGGGCGAGCCACCCCCCACCGGGCTGAGGCGGCGCACACCTGAGGGCAGCAGAGCCACCCTCCCCAAAATGGGTGTCCCTGTGCACCCAGGGTAGTGTCACTGCTCCGGTGTAGCCGCCTGGGGTGCGGGCTTGGGCCAGAAACCAAACCAAAGTATTTGTATTCAGTTATTCCATGGTCCTCCGTGCTCGGTCTGTGCTTAAGCACAGGTGTCAAGTGGTTTCAGCACGAGGTTAACCTGAGTGCATCCTTGCCTTTGTTAAAAATAAACAGAATCTACTTCTCACTCTTGAAATTAGCATGTAGCTTCTTGGTCCTGAAAATCCAAATTCCTCCTCCCTGCTACCAAAGTTTTTACAGCTTGTTGAGAAGCCAAACCTTGCAAATGGAATCTGTTTGCACTTGATGGTATTATAGGGAGATTTTCTTTGTATTTCACTCCAGTTTTCTTTAAAAATCCTCATTTGATTTTCAGTGGTAAGACTGGAAATGAAAAGTCCCTGTTCATGCTCCATCATAACAAAGCCCGCTGATGCCTAATGAGAACCCCGGGTATCCTGACCACACCATCTTGCCATTTATCTTGGGTTTAGTTACTCTTTAGTATTTAGTAAATGCAATTACACAATTCTTCTCTGCAAGATGAAGTTTTTTAAAAAAAATTCATTCCTCGGTGATGCCTCTGTTTTGGTTTATGTACAGAGTAACTGCTAATAATTCTTTAATTTTGTGCATTGTAGTTTTGTGTATTTATCTATCCCGGTGTTAGCACTAAGCTGCTGCTGTTTTAGGAAGCACCAGGGTTTAGGCTTTTAAAAGAATGATGAAGATCTTAAGTGTAACATGCTCTGAGGTCATTCAAAATCCTTATCAGTGTTTGTAAAATATTTGAATTTACTTGCCTGCTTTCTGGGAATACTCCCCCACTCAACTGAAACCTAGTAACAAGTATTGCAAAGAACCCTATAGGCAACTAAAATTATTCTAGTTTCTCTCTTTTTTTTACAAACTTCTTTCTCACAGAAACCAAAAATACCTTGCCTAGAGAGAGCTGGCATATTAATATATAAATATCTATATAAATATATCTATATTTAGATAGTTGAGATTGGAACTAAAATTTCACTGTGACACATGTGAGATGCTGCTGCAGCACTAGTTTTCAATTGAAAAACTAACTAAGAACTGAGCATTAGATTTTCACCTCTACCTCCATTGCCTCTTGTCAGTGGGGGCAGAACAAAGGATGCATCCTCTCCACTATTACTTTGTTATTTAAGGGTGTGTTTTCACAATTAGCATAGGCCTATCCAATACTGCTCTGTTGCTGAAAGGGACTTTCTTGCCTCTCATCACATGCTTGACCTGCTTTACTGATTGCAGCAGTAGTGACTGCGTGGCTGTGGAGTCATTTCAGATCATTTATCTAGCTGAAAGCTAAGCCTCCGAGTAAAACCAGCTAGTTTACAATCAGCTTTTTAGGTTGATATGACTTGCGTTAGGACTGTATGCACAGTCATTAAAGCCAGCACAAGGAAGCGGGACAGGTGAAAGGGACAGCACACCTGAGTCTTTCAGCAACATCCCGTAGTTAGGTTACCTTGTCTTGATCATGAAGACAAGATATGCTAACAATATGATAACAAATAGATGTATTCATAATTTTGAGAGTTCAAATAATAGATGACTGAGATGGAATGTAAAGAACTGATGTTAATGTCCCTAGTTCAACAGCTGCAGTTGCATGTAATACTTTTCTGTCCAATTTTATTTAGGAAAAAAATATTTCTTTAATTCACACAGTGGGAAGTTATTATGCTTTGTGTGAATACTGTGTTTTAAATGTTGTAATACAAAAATGTGAGAACATAAGAAAATAGAGGCCTCCTGTCTTTCAGCTGTTTCCCACCGATTTTGATCACTGCTTTGATAGAGCACTGATAGGTTTAAAGTAGAGAGTTGTATTACCAATGGTGAGAACTATGATAGGAGAAAAATTACTTCTGTAGAGGCTTGGGTTGCTTGCTGTAGTGACCTGCCAAGACAGAACCCTGCCATCTTGTGGAATGCCTTGATATCGAAGCACACAGCTTTGCTTTTCAAAAGACATCTTACATCTCCCACCCCCTTTTTTTTTTTTCTGATGATGTGTTTGTTTCTACAGAAACGGTGTGACTGGCTCAGGAAGCCCAGAGCAGCTAGTGCCTAAAGCTGGGAGAGTGTCCAGGGAAATGCTCTGAAGAGCCATGATAGGATTTTCCCACTCTCACAGACTTCTCCTGGTGTCTTTTACCAGCCATGTCAGAGACTGGTTTCTGAATGAAAAGATTTGGCCAGTTTGGATAGGTTGTTCAGCATCAAGGTAAATAGAATAGTCAGTGAATATGAAGCTCATATTTCAGCAGCTGGCAAAAGGTAAAAGAAAATTAAAGACTGTCTGCATGCAGTCTTTGAAAGATGACATTTTAGCATTTGCAAGATACAGAAAGATTTTTGAAATTGTGCATGCCTTTCCGATGAACATATAGCCCAAATGTTACATTGAAAGGCTTTTTCTTGTACATTTTCTCATAAGAATGTATTTTTTACCAGTTCTTAAAATCTGTATTTGAATACACACCCTGTGCTTCTCAAAGTTTGGACATGGATTTTGTTACAATATGTTTCAAAAGAAGAGTCTAATCTGCAAAATGCAGATGATACTCTGAATGTAGTTCAAACTTCCTCCAAACTGAGAATTTTGGACCAAAGCTTTTAATTCAGACTCATTTTTCATCTACATTTTAAAAATACCAACAAATTATTAGAGGATAGACAAAAACGCCAGTCTATCCCCAGTTCTTATTTTAAGAAACAATAGAAAGTACTCAGCTTATTTAATACCATTATTAATACAAATTTAGGATTATCGTCTCAGCTCTTGTCCTGACTTTTCTAGAGGCTTGTGCAGACTATCAAATTAGTATTCTTTCTTTCAATGGATGTCTTTCCTCTTTCTTCACTGGACTTAGCAGTTCTATAACATGTTAACACTTGGACGTCCATAGTTATAAATCTACACTGGATATCAAAATGTTGGCAGTCTAGGTTCCTAATATCTGTGCTCTGTGAGGGGAAAAAACAGAATGATACAAAAAAAACCAAACCAAAAGAAAAAAAAAACAAAACAGCAAAAAACCCACACACAAACAAAAAAAAAAATCACACACAAAAGGAAGATGAATGTCCAGAAAAAAAAGGAAGAGTACCAGCACAGAACAGCTACACTGCAGTACTAGAAACACACCGTACTTCCAACTATATGAAAGCACGTCTCTACCAGCACAGCAAGAAAGTATAAGAGATTAAGGAGATGCCCCTTAGCACATCTTCTTATTGCAGCTCACTCCTTTTACCTCCTCTAGTATTTTATAGTGCATCTTAAATCAACCCAGCACTAATGCTCTCATTCAGCTTTTATACATTTCAGAAGGTATACCTCAGCTGTCTTACATGCTTATATCCACAGATACAGCCATATACACTGCTCCGGAGATGAATCTCATGCCAGTAGCCAGATTTGTTAGATCAATTGCTGATAATTCCTACTCAAACAATGTAAACTTTACTAACAAATGGATCCTTCTGTCAATAAAAATTGCCTCTACACAGCTGTAAAACTGGACTGTGTTTTTTCCCCCACTTTAGGACAGTACTGCTTTGACAATATCACTTTAGTGTAGGTTTGTTCTTCATGCAGGGAGAGAGACAAGCCACTGGCAACAGAAGCTTTATGAACTGTGCTGTGCTAGCTAGGAAGCAGGCTGCAAATCTGGGTCTTTAGCATCTGAGTCAGTAAAGAGAGAGCTCTACTGTGCTTCATGAAATATATATGCTAATCTCCCAGATGGCTATATCTTCTTTTTCCATAGAACAGATGACCTGGAAAAATAAAAAACTTAAAACACTGGAGAGTGGGAATTCTGGGCCAAAATCTGGGAGCTTGCAGTAGATTTTACAGACAGACTTGGCACTTAAATTTAGTTGGAATCTGGTTTGATAACAAAATATAGCAATGGCTATTATTATAGGTCACAGTATAATTTCACTTGTAACATGAACCATTCATACATCTGCATCCCTATACGAAAAATAAAACAAAGGCAGACTTTCAAAAGAGATTTCTGACTGCACTAAAAGATATACAGCTAACAGAAATAATGTTTAACTTTGGCTTAGTAATGATTAACATTTGCATACTGTGTATTACCTCAGTCGAAGCCACATGCATAGCTCTCTTTTAATTTGTCATTGATTGAGTTGCTGCTCCTGTAAAGGAATATCAGAATCATCCTGCCACACTGGCAACATTGTGCCACAGTTTTGTAAGTGTGTGGAAAAAATTAACGTGTTTGAATAGAGGAACTGAGATCAGTGCAGTGCATATACTCTCACTGGAGTTCAGCAAAGATGCTACAGCAAACCTTTCAGGTTTCTGAAATCTTTATAGGTGCAGATGGCCTTGA